ACTTCCAAGCAGGGGTTGGGGCAGCCAGATCCCTTCCAGTGTAAGAGCTGAGAAAATCTGAGACCACCACATGAGGCTGAATGTGTACCAGTCTATAGGGCCAGATTACATGCATTCTGGGGCTCTAAGAAGCTGGCTGATGTTGTTGCCAAGACACTCTTCATCATATTTGAAAAATCACGGCTGTCAAGTGAAGTTCTCAGAGACTGGAAAAAGAGAAACATCAATCCCACATTCAAGAAAGGAAGACAGGAAGACTCAAGGAACTACAGGCTGGTGAGTGAGGCTCAGTGATCTCTTGCTGTCACTTCCAACTCATACAATTCTGTTATTTTGTGTGATAACTAAAGCATTCTTCAGTGAATGTATCATTTTCAGATACATGTGCATGAAAATTGACAGAAGTGTCTTTAGCAGCTTTTTTCCAACTTACGTTTGCTTGTGGTAACATTATAATTGTTTATTAAAGAAACCAATTGTACGTATCTGTGACTTCTTCAAAGTCCGGACTCTGTGAACAGTGTCTTTCAAAATACTATGTACCAGCCATAAGAAGGGACATAATTTGAAGTATGATCCTTTCTATTTAAACAAAACAAACCCAAGCAAACACACAAAACAACAAGAAGCACAGATGTGAGCCAAGTAAAGAGATAATGTTTAAGGTCCAGATTAAGCAAAACACCTGATTTGGGAGAGATGTAAGAAAAAGGTGTTTCCTTTTGAAAATAAGATTCCTCATTGAGTTAGTTTTCTGAATGCTTATATCATCCTATCTATTTTCCATTAAGCAGGTCTGAGACTGAAAAAATACACTCTCTGTTGAGAAAGTAGGTTGATGGTGTGCTAGTACCAATTTTGACTAACTGAACATATTTAGTGGCACTGGTATAGGCTAGCATTAGGGAATGAGAATAGGGCAAGAGTTCAAACTGAGAAATAATTAACACATAAATTCAAGACAAAATAGTCCAATTAAACTAGTTTTAATTGTTATCATCCTTCAGTAGGCTATAATAATATAGAGTGCAACTACAAAAGAAAATTTCATATTATTATCAGAGAAAAATCTATGGGACTAGCCCACTCACTTGACAGTATATGCCAAACCATGTCACTACACCTACTCATAATTTAAGAAGCAATCATCATGAGAAAACAAGGAATATTTAAAAAGTTATGAGATAAAGTGGCAGTTGCAGTCAGCACGACTCATAGGGACATTAGAAATGCTGCCATCAGTTCTTCTTGCGCCTTGAGGTTGCTGGCAGCAATTAAGGGGTAAGACTAGTGCTTGAGTTTATATGGTGAGGGGCACTCTGGTCAGAGAAAGGTCAGAGTCATCATCTGCATTAAAGGTTGTGCTAGATGAAGCCTGCTAACCAGCTTTTTTCAGTCACAAATGTAACGTGAGTGAGTGAGAGCAACAGAGGAATTCAGAAGGCATTGCCATACAGTATTGAGCACCTCTGTAAGCACAGCATGTGAAATTAAATTTGAATGCGGTGTGGAGAAGGCTTGTATATGGCTTAGGACTAGGACTTATACCAAGATTGCACATACCACTTTAATCACAAAGTAGCTTCAAACATTCCAAAACATTCCCCATAGTTATACAATAATATACCCCATGTATGTATGAATCTTATACAAAAACTTAGACTATTTATATGTTAGAAAGTTCATTAAAATGTCATTTTTTCCCCAATTTTTAGTGTTTCTGTTAATAGAGAATATAAACTCCTCCTCCCTCTCTAACAAGAGTTAAACAACTTGTACAGGATGAATCACTACTGTTAGTAATTATGGTAAGAATTCTGGAGGTGTTAGATTATGGAGTAATTTATTGTAGTAAAAGCGTTATATTGGCAGATAAAATTTTGACTCAATACACTAGGATAATTTTTTTTCATACGAATTAGTTTCCTTGCAATAAAATAAGAAGTAATTGACAGTATCTGAATACTATATTAATGCAGTTATAATCTTTGCTTGCTTGCCTGAAAAATAAACGTGTGCATAACTACAAGGCATAAACTATGCATGCATCATATTTTTTGACATTAAAAAAAAATACTGAGAAATCTGAAGATGGATGACTTTCTGTTGCATTCTGAAAAAATGTTCTCTGTCTTCTGTATGGCTATCAAATTATCAAATGATCACTGTGATAAAAGTAAAACAAGAACAGGGTTAACGCAGTTCTTTTCCTATTGGCTGTGCAATGTGATCTACATAGAATAATCATCTTCAGTGATGGAACATCACTAAGATGAATGTGCCCATTTTTTTTCCCGTGCACCTGTGTCCAGCCTCCCAGAACAGGATTAGTTTCAACTGTGAGGGCTTTTAATGCAAACTATCATACTTCAATTCGCAGTAATGCTATTGATTTATGCAGTTGATACAACAGAAGGAAGGAACACCATCCAAAGAGACATGGAAAAGCTGGAGGTGTAGGCCCCTGAATGAAATGAAGTTGAATAAGGCCAAGTGCAAGGTGCTGATCCAAATCAGGGCAATCACAGACATGAGTACAGTCAAGTGGAAGAATTCACTGAGATCAATCCTGTGGAGAACTACTTGAGGGTCTTGGTGGATTAAAATATTGATATGAGCCAGTGGCATGTGTTTGAGGACCTGAATGCCAACCATATCCTGAGCTGCATCAAAGGAAGGGTGGCCAGCAGGGCAAAAGAAGTGACTGTCCCCCTCTGCTCTTCCCTTGTGGGGCCCCATCTGGAGTACTGCATCCAGGTGTGGGGCCCCCAGCACAACAAAAGCATAGAGCTGTTGGAATGGGTCCAGGAGATGATCAGAGAGTAGGAGCACATGAGAAACAGGGAGATGGCCTTGCTCAGCCCGGGGAAAAGGCTCCGGGGGAACTTCCCTGCAGCAGATGAGTACTTAAAGGGAATACCTATAAACAGGATGGAGACTGGCTTTTCACACAATCTGATAATGATGGGATATGGGGCAACAGTTTTAAACTAAAAGGGGAGAGATTTAGATTAGATATTAGGAGGAAATTCTTTACTGAAGGCATGGGCATGAGAAGTTGTGGGTGCTCCATCCCTGGAGGCACTCAAGGCCAGGTTGGATGGGGCCCTGGGCAGCCTGAGCTGGTGGGGGGGCAGCCCTGCCCATGGCAAAGGGGTTGGAAATGGATGATCTTTAAGGTCTTGCCCAAGGCATTCTATGATTTAACTTGCTTATAAAGCAATAACAAATTAAAATAGTTGAGGGTCACAGAAATGAACCAAGACCATCAGGCATATTCTGCAAAGCTGACTACGAAGATCTTAGTTTTATTTCATGCCTGCTGAACTGCATCTCAGTTGAGAGATTATGGCGCTTAGTTATTTATTTGTGCTTATAAAGCAGGTTTGTTATATCACTTTGGATAGCTACTAAAACATATTACTCTGTACTCATCATAGAAGCATTACCTCAATCAAATTAATTCCAAGATTTTTGACACCTCGTCCAATATCATAGTCACATAACATAATCTATATTCCCAGATTACCCAAGGAAATTTATTTCCTGTGAAAAGGGTACGTAAACTTTTAGATTATCTCATGATGGCATAGTTTCTACAGCTTACTCATGTGCCTTACATTAAACTTAGCAAGGCTAAAATAATTGCTGAAATCATTTATTATAATTGCCCTCAAATTGGATCAAGTATGCTTGACTTTCAACTCAGTGAATACACCTAAAAGCTACTGTATATAATTGTATGCAAAACTAATACCGAAACCTGCTTTATATAATTTGACAATAAGTATCTTAATTATACAATTTAAATATATTTTTATTGTGATATTTGAGTAAGAGTAGCAATTCAATATGCAGTCCTCTTCAAAATGCATGCTCACCTACTGTACATTGTCAGTTGATTGCATTATCCTAATTAACTACTTTTGCCACTTATAAGTACATCAGTTACTTTAAAGCAATTTTCAGGACATTGAGAACAGAACTTTGCAGTGATATGTATATCTTGAATGTGTAATCAGCATATAACATAGTACACGGTTTCAGCTAACTGCTGTGTAAGTAATCAGTTACAGTGAGATTAACAGGAATAATTAAGTATCACACACACATGCGAATTTGAGGTTTTCCATGTAGCCTTATTAAGACTCATTCAAATTTATGTTCTGGGACCACACCTACATAGCTGATTTTCCTTTATTTGGGTAGCCTTCATGAATTTTTCTGTGGGCACGAAATACTTCATTAGTGCCTTAATCTCCAAGATTCTGTGAGGCTGATTTGCTTGCATGGAATGAAGACGTTTATAACTCACTAAGAAATCGTCAGAGTAATATAACAGACAATGATTTTGCCTCACAGGAAGCGCCAGAGTCACAACAGAATGCTTTCTTTTATATTTTGCCTCAATAGGTGCAAGGACATTTTCCTCAGGTTCTACTTTTTGAAAGGTAGTTCACTATGGCCTATCAAGCAACGGAAATCTTCCAAACTGGGGAAAAGTGGATAGAAATGTGTCAAAGGATTCGGTGATGAAGCTGACCGTGAAAAAAGGGGGACAAGCACGTGGGCACTCGACCACCCTGAATATCACTGGGCATGCCCAAAGGGAAGTGAGCACGTGTACAAGTCCTTGAAAAGGAATGAATGTGTACGCCAGTGCAGTGCGTATGTATGTGTGAGCTGTTCAGGTGTAGGACTTCAGAGCGCGCACCAGCTTGTCGAGTCGCCCGGTAGGTATCGTGAAGAATAAAGGAATGCCACTTCCTAACACCGCACAAGAGTTACAGACTTTTCTTCCCGGATTTCCCGGAGCCGCCCGAGGCGGGGCCGGGCCCGCCCCTCCCGCAGGAGGCCGCACGTCTCCCCCGCAGGCCCAGCCGGCCCAAGGCCGTACCGCCTCCGCCGCCCCTCTCCGCTCCGCTCCGGCAGCGCCATCCCCGTGGCGCCCGCCGGCCGCTGACCCGGAAGCGCTCTGCCCGCCCGGCGCGGCGCGGCACGGCACGGCCGGCTGCGGAAGATGGCCGAGTCGCCGGAGGAGGTGGCGGTGCTGGTACAGCGGGTGGTGAAAGACATCCACAACGCCTTCAAGCGGAACCCCGACATGTGAGCGGGGCGGGCGCCGGGCGGGCGGGCGGGGCGGAGGGGCTTGGGGCCGCCCGGCGGCGGGACCGGGCGCCCGGGCCAAGGTCAGGGCGCGGCGCGCCGGGTAGCGAGCTGCCGGCGGCGCCCGGAGCGTCGCTGTGCGGGAGCAGAGCGGGTCCTACTGAGGCGGGTGCCGTGGCAGATCCGCAGGGACCGCAGGGATCGCAGCACCGGCGCCGACGTGCTGGTGTAAGGACCGCCTGCTTAAGCGAGCCCCGTGCGAATCCGGGATTAGGTGCTGGGCAGTGCAACGTGCGGCCGAGGTGGGGTAAGGCGGGTCTGGCCTCCGTCTGGCAGCTCCCGACCTGCGCCGTGTGTGCGTAGCCTGACATCTGTACCGCCGGCACAGAGACTGTCCTTTCCTTCGCGTTGGAGGGAGACGAATGCGATGACTGCGTAGGACAGAGCAGTTACTGCTGTCTTCCGAGAACCAGGTTTATCTGGCCGCCTAAGAGCCAGAAGGTTCGTGTTTCATTTTCGGTCCTGTCGCGGAATGATTCACTCCTGTACTGCTCCCGTTTCCGCTTGCTGTCCTTTGTTTTAAGGTGCCAGCTGTTTAGGGAAGCATCTTGCTATCGAGCCAGATTTCATATTAGTTGGAACAAATGAGGCAGTGGATAACGGGTAAGAACTTTGTAACGTAAATGCAGTGCTCTGTGTCAGATGGAAGAGCTGCAGTCTCCAAGGCGATGGCCTATTAATCTGTTCCAGAAAATAGCATGTTAAGCAGTTATTTAGGAAAACTTTATGTGCAGTTTTTAATTTATCATTTTGCTTGAAAGAGAGGATTAGAATGAGTATCCTCGTATTTCCATAAATGCAGCTAACCACTTGGGTAGGTGGCCAGGTTTTAAAATACAGCATATGGGTACTTTCTAAAAAAGAACAGCATTTTGCCATGAAGTTTCATTTTTAGTATCTGAGGCATAATGTACTGTAAACAGACAGTATTTGTGAATGAATCTGCTGAATCCTTTTGCTTGCTACTCATCCTCCAAAACTGTTTCCTGATAGCAAACCTAGAGTCTGTGTTTTTGAATACATGGCTGGTATTGTTTTCTTTCATTCAGTCCAGGAGATGAAAGTAGATTGCAGTAGTTATGTGCCCTGAAACTGATGCACTATATCATACTTAGTATGAGAAAGCATGACCTGCTGCTAGTTTGCCTCCTGAGGTAGGCATGAAATCCTGCTGGATTTCTGAACTCCAGTATTTACATGGCTAGGATAAGCTGCAGGCCAGTGGCTACCACACCTGTTTACATCTGGAGCAGAAGGCTGCAACCCTTACAGTCAGATGTTCTGGTTGATCTGCGTTATCTTGTCTTCTTGCTATTGACCAAGGCAGCTGTGGTCTGTTGCAGTCTGTTACAAATGCTATCCTTTTCAATTGAGTAGCCTACTTGTGTCATGGATCCAGATTTGAATTCTTTTATTGACATCTGACTTCAGTGAAAATAAGGGGTTTGCTTGGTGCTTGATTTCATACTTCTGTTGTCTAGTTGAAAGGTGCTCTTTTGCATTTGTTGTCCCAAGTCTTTGATTCTTTGTTCACTTGCTCCTGATGCATGTCAGAGGTGGATGCTTTGTTCTAGCAAGCTTCCAGATTTCTATGGTTTGAAGGGGATATTGTCTCTGGTGAACACTGAAAACCATGTAAAATACAGTTATAGGCTAACTGTGATGTTTCATCATTTTTTCTCCCTTAGGTTTTATTGGTTGGGGTTTTTTTGGTGTTTTTTTTTTTTGTTGTTGTTGTTGTTTGCTTTGAATTAGATGTGGAGCAAGATTGTGCATGTTTTTAAGGCAAGCTCACTTCTAATTAAATACACAACACTAATTTAATATTACCTCATCTGTCTGATTGCTCCATTTTATTCTGCAGGATAACTGTGTCAACTTGCTAGTTCTCAATTTTTGTAAGACTGTGAAATTTATTGGTACTTTTACCAAGTCCAACCAGCATAGATCTTATAAAAGCATTTGCATGAGCTATCCCACTGGGATTGAATGGATTGTAAACACAGAATACATCAATGCATGCATTCTTTTTGAACTTTGCTTTTCTTTTGCTTGTGAAGCCAATGAGAATAAAAGACCCACTTGTCAAAAACCTATTTGAATTTTGTGGGCGTAATTGGAAGGGACAACCCAGCATTTGTGTGTGAAATCTGAGGATACTTTTCCTGGTACGTCAGTATCACTGTAGCTCAGATCACTTTTTCCTGCCTCGACTCGGTGTTTTTAATGTGTTTAAAAACACACTTCATTTTGTTACATAAGTTGCTCTGAAAGTAATGCCTTCTACTTATTCCCATGGAAACTACAACAGATACAAAAACACAGTAACACTATTTGATAGAGCACATTCTCAGCTACAAAACACAATTTTTCATTATAGTCACCACCATGAGCTCTGAATTGCACAAGTTGTGAACAGGAAGCTGCATGCCATTCTCATAAAAATCTGTGCCAGCAGAGGTGACCCACTGTCACTGTGACCACTATAAAAACACATCACCCACCACATTACGGTGCTCACATTCACTGTTTGGTCCCCATAAATGGTCACCATACACTGAAAAATGTCAGTGGGTGTAATTTTTTCACATGGTGGAGTTGACTGACACACCATTGTTCCGAACACACTTCCCTGTCAGATGCCAATGTGTCAGACTGCCCTTCTCCTGACATCGGGAACACAGCAACAACGTGTATCATAGAATCACAGATTCACAGAATGGTTTGCATTGGATAGGATCTTTAAGATCATCTAATTCCCAACCCCCCTTCTATAGGAAGGGACACCTCCTACTAGGCCAGGTTGCTCAAAGTCCCATCCAGTGTGGCCTTGAATACTTCTAGGGAGGGGGTATTCACAGCCTTTCTGGGCAACCTGTTTCAATGTCTCACCACGCTCACAGTAAATAATTTCTTCTAGTATCTAGTCTAAATCTACCCTCTTCCAGTTCAAAGCCATTTCCACTTGTCCTGTTGCTACCTGCCCTTATAAAAGTCCCTCCCCAGCTTTCCTGTGGGCCCCCTTTAAGTACTGGAAGGTCACTATGAGGTCTTCCCAGAGCCTTCTTTTCTCCAGGCTGAAAAGTGTCAATTCAGCCTGGTCAGGTATGACCTGCCCATGGTGAAGCTGTATGGGTTACCACCAATCACGTCATCTTTATTTTCCGTGTGCCTTAATATGGCCTTCAGGTGGATTTGCTCTATGATCTTGTCAGGCACAGCGTTGAGACTGGGCTGTAGTTCCCTGGATCTTATTTTTTTCCTTTCTTGAAAATGGGGGTTATGTTTCCCCTTTTCCAATCAGTGGGAACTCCACCAGACTGCCAGTCTTTATTCTAGGTTTTATTCTATCTGGATTTTGGCTTTGCTCACCTAATCCCTGGCTGCTCTATGACATCTCTGTAGTCCTCTCAGTTAACCCATTCCTGCTTCCACTCCCTATTAGGCTTTGTTTTTGTGCTTAAGGAGGTCAAGGAGCTCCTTGATCCACAGCGGCCTGCTGGCATGAAATATTGGTGGGAAGGTTCAGCCTTTACTGCCGTGCCATTCATATCTGCCTCTGATGTCGTGGAACATCGTAATTAAATAGAAGGCATTACTTTCTGATCCGCCCTCATAGATCTGAAACTTAATCAAGGTTTCTTTTGGTGTGATTGCAGATTTTTCCTCTAGGAACCCAAAACACTTCATTAAGTTATTAGCTAAATATGAAGTTTGCTTTGCCAATATTTTTCCCTTTAAATTGTTAAATAACTTATGCGGCATTGGTATGTATGAATTTGCCATCTGTAGTAAATATTTGTTTGCAGTATTTAGTGAGAAGGATAATCAGTGCAGAACATCACAGTGAAGATTAATGTGAGAACAAGCAAAAGGAAACTCCTAGATAATGCTAGTCCGATATTTATAGTTTATTTAGAAACAAATACAGGCTAGGAATTCTTTGGATTTCAATAATATCTTACTATTCTTAAATTTATGAAAGATTTTGCTTGTACCAATAAGTTAAAGGCTAATTAACTAATGACTAGTGGTATTGATTTGTTATTGGAAATTCTGAAAGAGAATCATATGTGTATGGTAGACGTGATAATGCAAGAAAAGTTTTCTTTTCTTGTATTTTGAAAGCCCTTTTCCTCACTTCTCAAAGTTTGTAAATCAATTAGTCATGTAGTCACTTCATTAGACTTGTTTTACCAAAAAGATACAGATCCCAAATGTTCATGCTGTAAATTGACATCTAGTATTAAAAGCTAAAGATAATTCGTGCAGTTTTTGGTACTTGTATTTGGGAAGTAAGTGTAAGCAAAGATAAGTTGTATCCTAAAATTCAAGAGAAAACTGGAATCTAGGGAGTGAAACATTAATTAAATATTAGTTTAGCAGTAGGTCGTGCTTCTGATAGTAGGAGACCAAAGAACCACAGCTTTCAATTGCCATTACCTTCAGTATAGTGATTAACTTGTACGTAAATATGATCGCCTTAAATTCTGCAGTTGGTTTGTGCAGTCCTGTCAATATGACCAGGCACTCCTTTGCTGCCTCGCTGGGCCGTGGAGAGTTACACAACACGCAACAGCTGTAAGTGCCAGGTCCTCCCCTCGGGTCACATCAGGCTACTGCAGCGATACGGGCTGGGGGAAGAGTGGCTGGAAAGTTGCCTGGCAGGAAAGGGCCTTGAAGTGCTGGTCAGCAGCCAGCAGTACGCCCAGATAGCCAAGAAGGCCAATGGCAGCCTGGCCTGCGTCAGATATTGCATGGCCAGCAGGAGTAGGAAGTGATGATTGTTTCCCTTGAATGCGTCATTGGTGAGACTGCGCCTTGAGCATGTGCTTAGTTTGCAGCCTCTCACTAAAAGAAGAGTTGTACTCAAAGTTGCTCAAGTGTGTGCAGAGAAGAGCAACAAAGCTGGTGTAGAGACTGGAAAGCAAGCTACAAAG